TCTACTAAAAACAGTGATTTCTTAGTTCCTTTTTCTTTTAATATAACGATTGTCTTTAAGAATCTTAAAAAATATTTTCTGGATAATATCTTAAAAGATAATTTTTTAGTAAAGCCAAAAATTTGCAAAATTACGAATATCTGCACAGTTTAGATAAAATATTATAACCACACACAGGTATATACCTGATATACATCTTGATAAAATAATATAAAGTATACGATAGTAAATCAAGAGTTACACATTCATCAAACGAAAAAAAAATGACGTCAGTGTTCACTTTCCGAAATTAAATGTATGCAAGTTTATGCATGTATATATATATATATATATATATATATACAAATATCTTTTCAGAATAACCGTTGACCTATAATTATTTTGATATAACCATTAAAATTATAATTTTTCTTATTTTTTAGAAAAGTCTAGTAATATTTGTGTGCAAAAAGTCAGAGAAGCGTTTCCGATCTTTATCTGTCGCTACTCTCTAAATCTGAATCAGTGAATAGTCACTAATTACTCAGTGACATACTTGGCACTGATAATCAGCGAAGTTCAACTAAAAAAGAAATGTTGGAGCATTATATAACTAAAATACTTGCATGTTAATTTTAATTTTCCAATACCATATTGAATTTATACACTAAAACAAGGTTAGTTAGATCATATAATAAAGATCAGCTAGGTTAGGGATCTCACATTTCATTCACTGATCACCAGTGGCATACCTGGCACTGATATCAGTGATTATCCACCGATTCAAATTTAGAGAGTAAGTTATGCATTAAAAAGTTATATTTTCAACATTTTTCTCTCATTTTATCATTAATCTATCCTTTAGAATTTTGCACATATCAAATTCGATACTTCAACTTTATTATACATATAAAGAAATTAAATATTTCTATAATATATAACGATTTACTAAAGAACCATCTTAAAATATATTTATTACAAAATTTAAATAATCTGATTATTATGTATATCATTATTATGTATATCAAAACAAAAATTAATTTTCTTTTGAAAAATATAAAATTTTATCGCGCGAAGAAACAACTTTATATAATAAACAAATCGAATTTGTGTTAATATGGATCTCACATTTAATTCACTGATTACCAGTGGCATACTTGGCACTGATATTAGTGACTATCCACTGATTCAGATTTAGAGAGTATACTAATCTTGGTTGGAGTATTAATCTAGTTAGATTTCAGAATGTACATATTTTAAATAAATTTGATGCTTATGATAAAAGTTATAATAGATTTGCCGATATACATATAAACTTTCGAAATACTTGAAACACTTACGAATATTTAAATACGGTCTGTAATTTTCTGTGTATAATCATTCCAATAGACATAAATATTACATTTGCATATCTACGTACCTGGATATTTTGCTATTATAAAAATAATGTAATATGATCGATACATATATACCTGAGGAATAAAAACAAAATTAAAAAGTCAAGCAAAGAGCGCAAGATAGAACATTAAATAAATTAATATGCTTATATTTTACATTACGAATTATGTAATATAATTAATTATTTGTACATATTGAATATGTTAGATATTCAAAGAGTTGACATGAAAGATGACTTCTAACAAAGTCATTGCTACGAGAAAATTAATTGCATACCTTGTCATTGAAAGCATTCATAAATCCGGATCTACAATAGGTATTTTTGAAGCTTTAAGCTGTAAGAAATTGATCAATTACAGTCAAATGCGAGGAAAATAATTGACTATGATTTATGGTTTAATCATTTCTGGCTTAAGGCTTAAAAATCTATTGTAGATCCGGGCTAATACTTTCAATGACAAAGATCTACACGTCTTTATATGTTACACAATCAGTCTAATCTAAAAACGTTACATAATAAAAAAATTCCTTAATGTTTCCAGTAAAAGAATACTGACAGATAATAAACGTATTTAATGACCATACCGATCGTACTTTGATGTAAAAGAATAATTCTTGTTCATAACTGTACAATGCGAAAAGTCAACTCGGCGCCGTCTTTACACCGCTTTAACAATCATCATGCCTAATTCGCATGCATTAAGTGCACTTATCAAATATGAATTAACTAACTACGTAACTGTATGTACGTAGATTCGTATTCACGATCGAGCGCATAAATACGCCCACATGTACAGTCGGTCGCGCTCAACTACACCTACCTTCCTTACATCGAGATTAGAGCTCAGTGTGTCAATGGCAACGTCATCGTGGCAGTCGTTCAATGAAAAGATTCGACGAAATGTTAACTCGAACATTCTGCAAGTAACTTACCGTTACTTCGACCTACTACGTGTACAGACGACATGTACCACACAAAATCGGGACGGGGCGTGAGCGTATTAAAAAACGCACATGAACACTTGAAAAGAAATTGAGCCAGAATAATTGATACACAAGACACAGTATCAAAGAAAAAATAATTATAGCTTTCTTTCGAAATTATAGCTTTTATTTGCATTGTATACTGTATCTTTCTTATTGTATATTACATAAGAGATTATAAGTAACATTATTAGGTGTTAATCACCTCTCAAAACAGAAAAATTATCGATCAACTCAATAATATGCAGAATATAAGATAGACACAAGTTATTGCAAACATTTGTACTCTTTGATCAATTTGTATCGATTTTTTCGATTGATTTCAGAATCACATATAATAAGAGAAATTATTAGTAAACAGAAGGGATCCTCTTCTTTTTCGTAGCAATATTAATGCTGGTTATAATTGAAATGTTATTTCTATGCGACAGTAAAAACATAGCTCAGTTATATTTAATTTTTTGAGTGATGACTCTCGGCAAGACGTCACTCCCTCCACGTCTTTATAAAGAGATTTCACTTATATAATATATACTATTAGTATTTCTATAGATTTCATTCAAAACCGTTACTAATACACAAGAAGAATAAGAAATTTATATCGTTTTCTGAAAGCATCATTGAGAATAATACAAATGAGTCGATATGCAAAAGAAATTATATTTAAAATAAAAAATATAAAAAAATTAGATTTTGGAACGCCCCTGTATTCCATAGCTCCTAGGATACGGATGGAACGTATTAAAAATACGTTAAGACTGTTACAAATTATAAAATCAAAGGGAAAAAAGTAGACCTAATGGCAAAAAAGTTAATGTCCTACTGTTATAGGGAGAAAAGTATGCAAAAGAAAGAAGTTAAATTCCCAAAAATTCCTACTGTTGCACAAATGTAGTTATATTCATCAGTCATATTAATTGAAATGACAGATTCGAACTTTGTACTAATATCAGCTTAAATCTTTTTTCTAGCTGCAAAGTCATATATGTTTATTTTAATAAATAGAAATTATAATTGTATCTTGTGCCATCTTATGTTAACTAAAATAATGAACTTTTATTAATTTCTTTTAAAAAAAGTTCTCACCATGTTAATTTCATTAAAATCCAATTTTATTTATGGTAAAATAAAATTTTATTACTATAATAAATAAACCATTTGATCATTTAACCATTTTGTATATTTTTCTCCCTATATCAGTAGAACATTAACTTCTTTTGCAATTGGACCCCTACTTTTGTATTGATTTTATAGAATTCATAACTGTTTAGCGTATTTTTAACACATTCAATTCATACCCTAAAAGCTACAGAATACAGGTGTTCTAATATCTATATTTTTATACTTTTGAATATAGCTTTTTTATTATAATTAATGAGCTATATTTTATAAAATATACAGGGTGTCCCGAAAGTTTTTGCCAATCACTTTTGTGTAGATAGAGCGGACTAAACTGAGTCGAAAAGTCCTGTACCATTTTGCGATGCTCGCAATAATTAACGAGATACTGATCATTAAAGATAGCCGAATAAGCGCGTCCGTTCGGCCTACTTAATGCCAAAGCGTATACGCCTATTGATGGCTCGGCACGTGGGCCGCGGAGAGTGGGAATAGCTTGACAGGCGCCAAGTCATGACATGGAGGCTCGCGGCGGCGCGGCATGAACGGCTTGACAGCCAGACAGTCCCCACTCCCAGCGCGCCAAGCAATTGCGATGGCGGATATTCGGCGCTTTAGAAATTAATATCTCGATTGCGAAAATTGGGAAATGGTTGAGAACTTTTCGAGAGTTCAATTTAGTTTTCACTTTAAACGATTCGTTGTGCTAACCCACGGTTTTTTTTACACTTGTACCACGTACCGATTTTAATAATATAATCATTATGGATTTTTTTAAATTTGGTAAGTATTGAGAATGACACTGAGAATGACACAATGTAGGTCGAAACGTGTAATTACACAAGTTTCATCGGTTTAATTAAATAATATATTTTTTATGTGTACGCATATAACACGCATACGCATAAAAAATATATTATTTAATTGAAGCATGGCGTGAGTCTACTACGATAGTGTCTCGGTCAACAAGCGACAAACCTACGAATTATGAGTTTGTACTTCTTTAATTAGCTAAACAGATCATGATTTTATTAGTATTAATAAAGTGCAATAGTTAGTTTCCGAAAAATAAGGGGGTGTCACTTTAGGAGACCTATGTCAGTATCGGTGACTTTCCTCTAATCAAAATATTAAAATTAATTATATCAATTAGATAACCTTACTTTGTACTCTGCATAACGATGATCCGTTATAAACGCGATGTGATGAACTATATCTTGAGAGTGTATGAGAGGACATTTCGCATTCTCATTGTTTATAAGTCTTAATGTTAAAATAATATCAAAATTTAAATGGATTGTTTGAGACACGTGAAGTATGTTAAATTTAGCATAAATTTTCCAATTATGTAAAATTTGTTATAATTCATTATTTTTTATTGCATTTTTTACCTGAAAATATAACACTGTTTCAGCGCCACTGTTATAGTGGTTTTCTCATTCTATTAAAAATACTCACAATCATTACTATTCTTTCGAAAGTACAAGCAAAAAATAATTCTTACTATATTTTACTTTCAGATTCTATTCAAGATGACGAGCGTAGTAACAAATCTGGTGCATAGTTATAGGGACCTTATGGACAATCAGTCCGGTAAGTCCATTGCGTTTTAATTATATTCTAACCTATTTTAACTCACGTCCAAAACTTTCCTGCATTTTTTAAACTATATATATAATTGTAATATAGGACTTTTTTAATAAATTCGTAAAAGCTAACGAAAAATGAATTGAAATTATAATATCAATCCTTCTATATCAAGATAGAATATTATAAGCATACGTTATCATTCCAAAAGTCGTTTCAAAAACTCGTTCGCTGTTACCATTCCAAAATTAGCTATTACGAAATGGAATTCGAAAATTACAGTCATATCACCGTAAAAATAGATTCTTTTGCTTATCATTTAAGAATATATTTTTTTAACAAAATGGAAAAGTTATGAAAAAACCACAGATATTTGAAGTAATATAATGAGTTTGGTGATTTAAAACCTGGATCGAAAATTATTTCAATAAGAGAGAAGTAGATATGCTCTTTTAAAAAATATAATTAAAATGAGCAAATTTTCATTTAAACTATAAAATTGTATTGTTAAATATATAAATATCAACTTTATTAAACTGTTTTATATGTATATAACATTTATTTTTATAATGTATAAAGGACCCTGCAGTTTTCTTATAGGAAAGTACTTTCGGTCAAAATTTAGTATGTGGAGCTCTATAAAGCTAGCATGAGGACCAAATCAACAGAATCAAATCGGACCTATCGAAATTTTTAGTACTTATTTAGTACTAAATTGTACCATTAAGGGGATCCTAAAGCAAAGCTCGAACTCCGACGAAATCACTAGATGTCGCGCCGCGCGTCGCACATCGACATGTCTTTTTATACTACCACAGCAATATCTCACGCAGACTATGAAACACGCAATCACACATACGTGCCAATTTTTGTACAACAAATTCGTCCTTGTCGCGCCGCGCGTCGCACATCGACATGTCTTTTTATACTACCACAGCAATATCTCACGCAGAGACTATGAAACACGCAATCACACATACGTGCCAATTTTTGTACAACAAATTCGTCGCGATAAAGCGTCTAAATCTAATTCGAAGAACTCGACGTTGTATGTTCGTGCAAATTACGTGTTTGGGAACTATTATTTCGTACGTTCGGGTTACAAAGGTTTCATATCAAGCAAATATTGTCACGACTTGACAGCTGAGACGCCATATTACACTAAGAAATGGTAAAAAATATATCGATTTCGAAATTTTTGATCATTCTCAGTGTAGACTCCACTTCACAAACACGTATTAATGCGTATACTTTAATCCTGGAAAAGGATTTTCGAATCCGTGAAAGAGAAAAAGAGTATTCGTTTATACAAAAATTATACGTGTTTAGTCGGTAATACAGACGTCTTTAGGATCCCCTTAATGATAATTTTGTACCGCGTACCATTTCGAAAAAAATCGTGGCGCTGCTGGCTTAACATTAAGCTAGCAGGACCAATTCAAAATAAAAGATAAAAAGAAAAATAATATCAGAAATCAATACGATTGAATTTGTACTATTTTGTGCTGCCAAAAACAATTCTATATTATGTCATTTCCAAGAGAACAATGACGTTGATAATATTTAAGCTGGCAGGGCTATAAAAAAAAACAAAAAGGGAAAAAATTAATACAACTGAATTTATACTAATTTGTACCATTGAAAGTAAGTTAATATTTTACATGTTTACTCCTTAAAATGATTTTATTAGTATATGCTTACAATCTATTCTACGTCAAATCGTGCACCTTTGAAACATCATTTTATTTTTTTTTAATTTGTTAACATATTCTACATATAATATATTCTACAGATAACAATAAAACACGTGTTCGTGAAAAAAATGTGAGATTTTTTTGTAAAGTTATTGACGCCTGTAAGTTGCATAAATTTATAAAAAAACGTCGCTCATGGAACATTCAAATTATTATATCGTCGAAATAATTAGTGGTACAAAAAAAATGTAAGATTTTCTGAGATTAAAAATCCGATTCTAAAGATCTTAAATTGATCTATGATTGTGTGTGGATTTTATTTTTAATTTATTATTTTCATATAAATAAATCATTTTCCATTTGTTTACAATTTTTGAATGAACATTTTTTATCATCACTTCATTAATTAAAAAATTTTGTAAAAATATCGTATTCCCATTTCAATTATGAAGTAACCCTGAAAATTTCAAAATAGAACTTGAATTTTTTAACTATACAGTCCATTCGAGTTCTATTTTGAAATTTTCAGTTCTCTATCTATGAGGCATTTCATGTTAAACCGGGTACCTTGAAAACATCATGATTATATTTTTTTTTAAATTACTAACGTATTACTACAGATAAAAACATGAGACACGTGTTTCGCAAAAATTTTAGATTTTTTTTGTGAAGTTATTCACGCTTGTAAGTTGCAGAAATTCATAAAAAATGTTGCTCATGCGAATATTATTATATCATCGAATCATTGGTCGTGCAAAAAAATGCAAAATACATAATTATGTAAAACACTTACAATTCTTTCACTATCAATCCGCTGCCAGATTTTTATTTATCGGCTGGGTAGTAGTTTCTACTTCAATCTGTCTTTTGCAAGGCTTTGATTTACTAAAAGTAAATGAACATTTTTCGAAAAATTCTTTTTATTTTTAATATATCTTTTCCATTTTTTGTTCAAGACAGTTTATTTGTTTCTGACAAATATTTCACAAACTATTCTTTTGGAAAATGACTATAATATATTATATAAAACGTATAATACATATTTATATTACTATTCATGTTTGTAAAACTATTTAATAAACATATATTCTAGAAAATGAAAACATTTTTCATTTTTTTTAATATACCAATGAAATATTTTTACTATATATTAAAAGGCAATGTAGCAACATGTACTTTTCATAATAATCGATATAAGGCCATATCGATCTTTGAGCTCCAATATCTCAGAACCTGTTGATTTTAGGACCACGTGCCCATTGAGACTTGATCAGGACACCATAAACTACCACATACTAAAGAACATAGTAAAGAAAAGGCTGTTTTTTGCCCACTAACGAAAAGTGTAAAACATAGTGAATTTTATAGATTTCGACCTACTGAACACGATGGTGCTATTAATTTTCATTGAAAATGCAGAGAACATCATCATTTTTCGAGTTAAAGTCCTATATTTTATCCTCTCTGTAATCACAAAAAAATAAAAAATACATAAAACATAAAAAAAGAGGACAAAAAACCGCCACGTCCACGCTCGTTGTCTCTGGACCCGGCTGAGAGCGGTTTATAGAAAGCAGTTGGCGACAGCAAAAAATGGCCAAATGGCATTCGCCATTTTGACTTTTTTATTTCGAATTCATCTTATTTATTAGATTTCTGTTTAACAATATCAGGAACCTTTGCATCTAAGTTTCACATGAAATAATTCACTCGTATTGAAAATCATGTATTACAGAGAGGGTAAAATATAGAACTTTAACTCGAAAAATGACGATGTTCTCTGCATTTTCAATGAAAACTAATAACATCATTTAATAACTAATTTCAATCATTTTTTTGCAAAGACTATACATATACAATATATATATATATATATATATATATATATGTATGTATATATACCTGATATTCTTAAAAAATTGATTGTGGTGTCGTTTATTCCATTAATTTAAATACGTTAAATATATTAATAATGGAATATGGCAATGTAATAACAATTAAATCGATAATTAATTTGTTATTAATTAAGTGCAATGTCCGTATCACATCGCAACGACATTCGATTTTACAATATAAAAATATCTGCAGTTGCATTTAAATCTCCGGAGATATTCATAACCTTTTCCCTCTGAAAAGATCTCGCACGGTGCTAAATTATTAAGGAAGAAGAATTACCAACGTCGTGACTGACATTTTTAGAAAAGCACATTAACGAATATGAATTGATGCAAATATAGACATTTTTAACGGTCGTTCTAGACTTCTCGAGCTAACATTTCATCAAATTTCTTCACTGAACAGCGATAACATCATATCGAATTCTAATCTCGACACAAGAAAGTACTAAAAGCCTTTTGAGTATAGAATCAAATGGCGACAAAAATTGTTCGCTATATTTTTACAAGACTTAATAAATTCATGAGATTTAGAAATAGCTCTTAATACGTTCCGTATTGACATCATTGTGTCAATAAGCCATGTATTCACGAATTAATGTAATCGCGTGGTGAAATCTCTTTTACCGGTATTGTGTAATACCAGTAATTTCGCAAATATGCTAATAGAGGAGATGAAGTAGAGGACATTTACGTAACGCGACCCATTAAATGGCCCAGTATTGGATGTTCAATTAAATGACATAACGTTCGTGATATGTTAACGGATGAAAAAAAAGGAGATCGCATCTAGCACCTGATGTTTTTGCCGATTGAGTGGACCGTACAAGAAAAGCTGTGCAAATTTATTTAAGAGATCGTAAGGACGATGGAGCTTTTTGCCGGAAATCCCGCGAGTATTACAACCGAAATTTCAACGATTCCCGGAGTCTGTTTACCGCGCGTATTTTCACGGCGACGAGAAACCCTCCTTCCCCTCTTCAGAATCTTCCGGCATGGCGCGAGTCAATATCGTGTCGTAACGCCGGCAAGCGTTCGCGTTTCTAATTTCTCCGAGAACCGTCCGGAATCCTTGACCGTCTGTTTTCCATATAAGTCTGACAAGTCATTCAGCCGTGGTTCCTGTTCCGATATCTTTCGCGATATCCGCGTAACGATACGAGAGCGAAAACGAACTACTTTTGATAAGATCTTATTCGTTCGCCGCTTTAGAGTTTAATTCTGAAGAAATCTATTTTTAATTGTGTAACTTGAGAACTGTCAGTTCTCCCCAACAGAGAGAACTTTTTAGAACGGAAAGATTTATTCAAATTAATCGATTGAGGATTCGTGGTATAAATAGACGTATAATTAATGAGAAGATATTTTTACAAAATTTACTTTCTCAATTATTTCAGATATCCGTTTAACTTTCTCG